AATAGGTGTCTTTAAAGAACTACCATAGTAGATATTTTCATCTTGCTTATGTGGCTAAACATAAATGGGACAGGACCTCTCTCTGGAGACTGTAAGCAGCACTTAATTCTCCTGCTGACTGTACAGGTTACCAAGATACTTGAAGAAGAGGGGTGTACCATGAGTCTGAAGCACAGGGACAAGTGGGACAGCTCCTCTACTTGTTTTTTTGTAAGTGCTGAGCCACTGACCCACCCACAGAGCTATGGACCATGTGACTATTAAGCATTTTTGAAAATCAGATTTTAAGTATTTCAGAATAGACTCACAAAAACAGAGACAGATAAATGATCATTTATGAAAATGTAAGTTTTACTTGTAGAGAACAAAGAAGTTTGAAAATGACATGACATTAAAGTCACTCTTTGGGAGACAATATTTCATCTATTTCATCCTCTTTTTTACTTGCTAAGCTTTAGCAGTATTTAGAAATTAATCACACTAAATAATCTAAACACTGCTTATATGGGACTAAATCTGAATCTTGTTTTCCTCTTGGTGGGATTTTGTTTCAGATTAGATTTCTGTTTCAGCTATTGCTCAGCAAACTGAACAGTATTTCCTGTGAACTCTTCCATGATGAAGCACCTGCAAGTTAAACTTCTGGGATGGCTGGCAACTCCTTCGCTTCAAGACTAAATTAATTGCTTCCTCTTGGTCTGTCAAGTTTGGGTTTTTTTCTGTAATTTTAGGACCAGAAACATTTATGCAGTTTTACAACTTCTCCTTGTTGGATTGTGTTAGGATAGTGCCAAAGTAACCATACTAGGGAGTGAAATCTTCTTTTTTCCCCAAAGCACAAGCCTACAAAGGATGGTAAATACTGTCACCTCACTCACAGACTTGAATGCTGACTATTTACTTGCTGTGCCTTTTCCATGCCAGCCCAGTCTAACAAGTCTATGTACCCCACTAAAGCCACAACACAGCTACGAACTGGAAATCCTAGTACACTGGAAAGAACCTGTCAGCAGAGGGTACATAGCTCTGCAAACACAGTGCCTAAGGTATTGTGGACCTATAATGGAAACTTTCAAGTGGAAACTGGGACAACAAAGTCAACGCCTCCTCCTCCTTGAGCTTGCAGTTCAGGCTGTGGGAAGTTAGAAATCTATCCCCCATTCTCCCGAGCCAGAAAAGCTACAGTCTCCACCTAAGCACGCTCTTCAGAGAATAAAAACCTATCTGAGAAGATAGACCAACAGTTCAAAGAGTGCAACTGCTCTTATATTAGCTATTAATAAATGGGCACAATCTTCCTGCTCCAGTAAACTCAATAAAAGCAACACACAAACCTTCAATCCTTATTTTTTATAGGATCTTGGGAATCCCAGGAGACATTGGATGCTGCAGACTAGTTAGCCTGTCTCCCCAGTGAAGTTCAACTGGCTGCAAAAGTTCCAGCTCTTCCTTTTGGGCCCTTACAGAAAGGACCTATGAAATCAGTAGGGCCTTCTCATTGCTTTCATTGGGAGGAAGATCAGCCCACTGCTGAGAAGTTCCTGGGTACCAGAACTCTGAGCTCAGGACTGTCAGAGCTACGTTGCTGGCAGGATTTGTTCTGTCCACCTGCTCTGCCTCTCTGTTTAAACACAGCATACAGGCTAGCCTGAAACTCTTTTTCCAGAAACACTTATACCTCTAGCTTAACTTGGCTTACTAGATTTAATAATCTATGCCTCCCATCTCACTGAGTTGTGGAATAATTTTGCATTTTTCAAGATAAAAAAGATGACTAGGACCTTAAAATTTTGTGTCGTCAAAAGATACTGTTTGTATTCTTAGCCAGATACACTATGACCTTGAGACAGGGTATATTGCTTGATTTGGTCAATGAAGTTGATGGAGTCGTTGTGGTTGCTGCTGCAGTTTTTGGCTTTGAATGGCCCAGAGAAATAGGCAATGTCTGTCAGACACTGGGTGGCACAATGAAATTTGTGCACACTATTATTCTTCTTAAGCAACATAGCTGAAGCTGGCCCCTTGAAATCTGTTAAATTTGGGCTATTTCTTATGCAACAGCTGATTTTGACAGTGTCCTTAGAAGCGACTTCATTTAGGTTTCACTACAGAGGCATACTAATATTACAGTCTTGGTTAAAGCTGAAGAGCTTGCTCTACCACAATGGGATTGGAATTTGCAAGAAGCACTGCAAACACCCTGCTTAGGGCAGCCCCGCTACTGGCAGCAGGTGAGGGACAAGGTTCTGACTCCTGCACTTCACTTCACAGACAGAAGTTTATTGGGGAGTGCTGCAAGTGGGAAATCAGTGCCTATGCACTTCTGGGCTTTTGGTCCTTCACAGGCGTGGCAAGTCATTAGGTGACCACACCAATCCCCAACTCTGGATGGACCTTCTGTCAGTGCAGTTTATAATATGCCCGCTATGGGATGATTCCTGTCATGTTGAGCAAAATTACAACAGTGAAAAATGTTTTCATGTTTTTGCTGATGCAGTCATATTTGGACTAAATACACTGACTACTACTCTATCAGCAGTAAACATGTATCACCTTCTTTTCCAAATAATACAAAGAATAATACTTCTACTCTTTTTACCTCTTCTTACTTACTCTACTGTAAACATCTAGCTCTAAAATATACCAGAATTCAAACTATTTGGTTACACTGTTTCTCAAACAGTAAGGTGAGTGCTGCTGCTTTTTCTTAAATGTGATGTGATGCTTGTAATTTCTTTGTATTACAGTACAAAATTGTGTCTTTCTGTACTTTCTTTGAAAGTAATGTATAGATACTTCAGTACTTAGGAAGAAATTGCTCATGGTTATGCAATGGGATTTACCTGCACTTCAAAGAACGGCTGTGCAAGTGCAAGATACTGCAAAGTGCTGATCGTATTCCACTGTCGACTGTATGTTCACTCATTTTTACTAGCACGCGTATTTTAATGGGACAAAATAAAGACTGCATTGACCCAGTATCTTTATATTACATAACCAGCTGACTATTAGTATAATGCAAACTCTTCTAATTTTCCTATCATAAAAACATTATTTTCCCAACAGTGGTGAAACTCAGACAGCCTGCATAAGTCAGCCTACTGTCGGCAAGTTTAATAAATATTATGACTTTATAAAGATTACTGTATGTTTTTCAACAAGCAGGAGTATTTTAAATTAACTATCTGAACATTTTGATTAAAAGAAACTGTATTTATACAAGGCTTAGCAGCATATGTAGTGACATGTAATGAGTATACAAATATGTAGCAGAGACTGACCTTCATTTTAAGATTTTGTGAAGCCTGTAGGAATTAGCCAATATAGAGATTAATAAAATGCTTCCTGAGAATATAGACAATCTGTCTCTTATGAGTGTTCTGGAAGCTACCTCAAAGGCTAGCCTGCCCTGTTTTCCATACCACAAGTATGTATTTGTGGCCGCAGAAAATGTTCTTTTAAGCATGCAAGGTACTTAGTACCCAAGCATGCTTAGCATGTAAGTACATTACCCATTACCAGGCATTCACATTGGCAGCCAACAGAATGTCCTTTAGGTAGCAGTATACTCAGAAGCCATACAGCATATAGATTACCTCATGCATGGAGCAACCCCAGAAACTGCTTTTCCATCGCAGCATATATATACAGACAGAAGGTTGGAAATGAGCCAGACATTGCAAGAACCTCTAAGAGATTATGGTGCAATAAAGTTCAGCCTCTACAGTGCAGCCACCCACATGCACAGAAGTCAGGCTACGCACACTTCCAGTGTTACTGCCTTGCATCAAGAAAAGCCTACTCTAGCTCGTGTTTGTTCCCACCTCTTAATGGGACAGTTGAGTACCAGCTTGTTAGTTGGAACGTCTTCGCATATGGTATCCCTAGGGCTGCCAAGGATGGCTGAAAATACTGGAAGTGAACAATGGGAGAGACTCAATAATCATCTTCCTTACTCCTCAGACTCGACACAAGCAGAGCTGAGGCATGCAAAAGAACAGCATTTCAAACAGAAGGTCAGCTTCTGCCAGTTTGAGATCTGGTGCACACATTTCATGTAACCAAGTTCTTTTCTTGTGCAAAATACATACAACACAGACTACACCACTGTGAGCCTTCCTTACTTCACCATTCTTATGCCTCAGTCTTAACTAGGACCTGAACTTTTGTGCCACATGAAGTCTGAGCTCTCTTGGCTGAGATTATAAATACAAATATCAATTAGATAGGCTGTGAAATTCCATGTAGCAAGAAGACTTTTGAGAACTAAATCTGCAGGCTGATACTCACATGGAATGTAATTCAGTTTGGAAGTACTCAGCAAGAATTACTGTAAATGTTGTCATTTACAAAGTAGATACTTACGTTTTAAAAGCTAGACAGGATGCTGTTTCACAGGATCATATTACTGTATTGCAATTCATCTTTAAGAGGTTAGCAGGCCTGTGGGAATGGTATGGTACAATAGACTCCATAGACTGTCTGAAAACCAAGTATATGATGCTACTGTCTGCCAGCTGATTGGAAGTGAAGCTATCAATTTTCAGCCCAGCTCCGTATGTAACTGTTCCCTAAGTATCCTTCAGATACTCTTGTTTACAATCTCATGAGGAAATTTGGGAGCTGAAGGGCTGGAAATCTGGTAATTTCCTCAGGACAGGGTGGGGAGGTGTAAGAAGGAAAGGTACAGTAGGAGAGCTTGCATAGGTTTGTTCTATGAACAGAGGACTTCACTCTCCAGGGCTGTCAGATCCAGCAATTTTGGTATAAATTCTTTTGAAAATCAAATCCACACCCCCTTTTCACCACCACAGGTATTTTCAAAAGGTATTTCTATGTTAAAAGTAGAAATGAGGGAAAAACTCACAGTTCCAAGTATCTGAAACTTTAAATTCTAGGTGAATTTCCAGTCATATAAATGTTTTTGTCTGAAGTCTCTCAGCCCACAAATTTGGGTAACTGTATAAAAAATGATAAATCTAGAAAAATCCAAGCCTTACCTTCTTGTAGAGACTTCTCAGGTCTCTGTACTGCCACATACTATTGAGGACCTGAGATGCTGCTTTCACCACTTTTGGCGAATGCCTGTTACACACATATATTACAAAGGGAGAGAGAGAGAAAGAAAGAGTGAGAAAGAGACTGTTAAGCACAAGACTCCATTTATCCCGATTTTCAAATGCATTGCTATGGATTTAAACCCACAATTAAAGTGTGTTTCAAATGCACCATAAGATCTTTGGTTGGCATCTTGGAGACCAATGTGGTTTTAAGCAAAAGTAATACATGTTATTTCTATAGTACTAATTATTCAGTGAGGAGCAAAATGTGCATTCCTCAGCACACTGAGAACAAGGATTCATTCTGAGAGCATAGTAAGAGGAATTTGAGGTAGTAATTGGCAAAATTGTTTAGGACCCAACTGGTATTATGTGTATCTAAGAAGAGGTCCGGGCTACAACTTTTGGCATACAGGACAAGAAGTTAGAGCCAGAGTTTCTTTCTCTATAAGTTGTCAAACTTCAACTCTTGACAGTGTGCTCAATGCATTAAGGGCCTCTTAGCAGTGGCCAAAAGAAACACTCTAGATGGGTGATGAGCACAGTTTTTGAAGTGCAGAGCCAAGATGCAGAAATCCAACTGATTATAAAAAGTCATTTCATTAGGAATCCAAATTAGGACTTGCATCTTGCTGACACCATTACCCTTTAATGACGACAATACAATGTCACGTTGAAAACCATATATACAACCTCACACGGACTTTCTCTTCAGAAAGGTTCTGAAAGAAGCTCTAAAGTATTGCTACAATCAGTTGGAGTCATATATTCCTCTTGGGATAGGTAACTTTAAAAAAAATCCCCCCAAAAATATATGAGAGTGTATTCAGCTCATTGAAGAAGGGTCAAATAGAAAAGGACCATTGAGGTCCCAGCCCATTGAGGACACATACACTGTGCTACACCAATAATACACATAAAGCAGTAGAGTGCTAGAAAACCTTGTAATGGCCGAAGTCTGGAGTGAGGATTAGTGGAGTTCAGGGCAGTCACTGAGGTGATTCATGTTTTACTCAGAAAAGGCACATGCAAAACCAAAGGGAAACTAGAAAACCAGTAGCATATGTTATTGGTTTGGGCAGGAAGTCTTCTCAGGGGTCAGGTTCTAGTGCATCCAGTGACTTTTGAGAAGGACCACTGGTAGGCTGACACTCAAGCTGGTAAAGCAATGTTCATGACACAACTAATTCAATTAACCTATACAGTATTTTCCTAGTCATTTATTTGGTTCTTTTTTTCCCCTTTTCTTCCATTTCTCACCACAGAGTACAGCAGTAGGTGGGTAACTGGTGAATAAACAGGAATATGATAAACTCTTTCAAACATAATTGTTTTTATTATACTCCCAGTTGTCCTGGCTAGTGGGGTGCTGGTAGCATGGAGTAACCAGGAAAATAACTGCGCCAGCCATACTGTGAGTACTGAGGAGAAACAGGAACTATGCGAACCCAATATGGGCTTGGCCAATATGACCTTATGAACACCAGTTCTCTCGTGCTGTCACACAGGGAAAG